ATTACCGGCGATTACTAGGGATTACCGGTGATTACCAAGGATTACCGGCGATTACTAGGGATTACCGGTGATTACCAAGGATTACCGGCGATTACCAAGGATTACCGGCGATTACCAATGATTACCGGTGATTACCAGGGATTACCTACTCTGTGTACACCTGATTACCTCAGTCGGGCACCCCTCGGGGAAAGGTCTGCGGGTTTTGTGTCGCCAAGTGCATACTTCTCAGATAGTGGGTAGGTCAGGAATTACTCTTCCCCCGCCACATTTAGGGGAGACCGGGGTCCCATGAGCCATTGCCTGTATCTCGAAAACTATAGGTGGCAGGACCGCGAAAAAAATAGTGATGGCTTCCCCCCAAGAGATGTTGTTGGTAGCCAGAGAGTGGTAGCCCGGGTGTCACTTACGCTGGCGTGAGCTGAGGTCAAAGAAGAACATTCCCCCATTTTGAGGAAAAGTAAATTTTCACATGTAACGGCTATGGTCGCTTTCGGCCATTTATTAATACTTTTCGTTTGCGGTCTTGCTTTGCTGTTGTCAACTAGTCTTAGGCCGTCAATTTGAGCCCGATCCCGAAGCGCTAATCCCAAAACTAACTGTACACCATCACTTTGAATGAAAATGTGCACCTCGGGGACCCATGAGCCATTTGGACCTGGGGTCCCATGAGCCACCCCGTTGTGAAGGGTTTGATACATAAACTATCTTTTGGTGTTACCTAGTGCAACACAAATCGCTGCGCATTTGTCCACCATTGTTTTGGTACACCTTGCCAATGTTGTCATGAATGAATTAATTACTTGTGTATATCTTTGTATATTTCCGAACTGCTTTACTCGAAAATACACAAAAATAAAGAAAAGGATCTTCTCAGCCGAGTCTACAAAGAAATGAACTGTTTGCAAGAACTATTTTTTATCTAAATCGTTAAACTACATGAAAATTAATTTTATACCATTTTTGCATCGGAATTACCGTAAAAATCATTGGTCCATGCGGGTGGCTCCCCGGGCCTGGGGTCCCATGAGCCATTGCAAGGTATTTTTAAATTAAGCCGAACTGAGTCGTGCTTAAAATACGGCATGGGTGCTGTTTGATGGGTAATGAACCACAGTGGCAGCCCCGCCTCAGAAAGTTCAGATATCTCGCCATTTGAAGCCTACAGGTGCGAAAAACAAAAAGTGGCTCATGGGACCCCGGTCTCCCCTACTCTAATCCTACTCGTTCGTGTTTTTCTCGACCTCACCGCGCTCTCTCCATCGGATTTTTGCAGGAGCGTCATGATGGAGCTGCTTCCCGATGACCTGCTGCTCAAAGTAATGCAGTACCTGGACGTCCCGGACCTCTTCGCCTGCCGGCTGGTGTGCAAGAGACTCGGCGCGCTGGCCTTCGATCGAGACGCCTGGCGCCACCGGAAGCTCGAAACTTCGTTCCACGACGGCTTGTTCCCCTGGTAACGATTTACCCATTCTCAGACGAGATTAAGACGAAAGTAAGAGGCCGGGCGCAGCCCTCAATAAGCCCTTACTCTCGTCTGAAATTGGACTGAATAAAATCTGTAGTCGGTCTTGTCATTACACGATAAATACATCGTCTTTGGTTTTCAAGCAGGTTTGGAAAAACCAAGACATTTCCATGTATTTTCTCCGTAAGAGATGGTCGCCTGCTTGGAGACCAAGATGTCGTTTTTAACGTGCATGGCGAGTTTCAGATAGACCTCTGGTGAAATTCGGCAATTTCTTTTAACCAGGGTGGCTGGGCTGCATGCCCCGCGCGCGCCCGCCATGCCCTGCGTGTGCCCAGTGCTGCGCCTGGCGCCGTGTCTACGGGAGTTGGGGCTCGACCTTCCCCCACAACGCTGCCGCCTAGCCTACACGTCTACGAGGTGTGCCGTGGAAGAGTTGAGGCTCTCAATCTGTATGGGACACCGACCAGACAGCAGCTCTGGTGTCTCAAGTGCTTACCAGGCCGCAGCTGTGCTCTCCAGGCAAGAATCTCTCGGCCGACTAAGGCGCCTGCGCTTTGACTTGAACCCTGGAACTGACGCCCCCGCGTTTATTGCGACAATGGCGTCAACACCCGGCTTGGAAGAACTCAGGGTTCTCGAAATATGCGCTCCAGATTGGTCCAACCCTGTTATGGGCTGCACCGTTTTAGAGTCGTCCCTGCGGCTCTTCCAGTACACTCTGTCCAACACTGTCTCGGAGCAGTTCGCGAACTTCATACTGTCCGGTCACGCCGCAACCCTTGAGGTCGTTGACCTAGGAAAGTCGCCGTCTGAAGTGACCTTCAAATCGACTGCGTCCTTGCTCGCCGGCGTGCTGAACCTGCGCGAGCTGACCTGCTGCACCATCCCCGGGCTGGAGGTCTTGGCCAATTGCGAGACGCTCAGGGTCCTTAATCTCGCCGTTGGGACCAAACGTCAACACAAGGCTGCCGGGGCGTCGGCTGCGAAGCTCCTCCGGGGCGCCAAGCACCTGCGCGAAGTGCAACTGGAATACAAGCCCTTGGGGCGCGTCAAAATAAGTGTCGTACGTACGTACGTCCGGCCGTACGTCCGTCCGGCCGACGGCTACCAAACAAAAGTATCATTTAATAGGTGAAATCGCATATTTTCGGAAAGGGGAGAGTAAGAGGATTATTATACTGTGAAAATATGGGCGCTTTCATGCCATGCTGAAAAGAATGGAGCTTTAGAAAGATTGCAGCGGTTTGCAAGCCGCGCTACCGCTGCGGGGCGATAGAGAGCGCTACTGTCGTTGTTTTCAAGTCAAAAGTAAACACTCCAGTGACTCCCATTGTCGGCCACATTCTTAGTTTGAAATGGATTTGGATTTGGAGGGTATTATTGGAGCGATATTGTTGGACGAGTTAATGGCTGAAGATTACTTACGTCCAAACGGCGCTATGGACGACGACGGTAAGGCAACTGGTGGATTGAAGTAATTGAAGTAATGGTTCAATGGTTCATGGGCTGTTAGGTGCCACATATCTGACAAGTATTTTTTAATAATTTTACATCCCTTGGTTTTCAGATGATGCAGATGACGAATTATTCCAGATGAATATAGCTTATTGGAAGCGTTTGGGTGACCCAACATTTAAGCAACACTTTCGGATGGATCGTGGTCCCTTCGAGGTATTTTTCTTATGATTTAATGTGTCATACATGTATTTTGGGTCTTTTTTGTTATGGGTTTGGAATTAACTATGTGTCATTTGTTGCAGTCTCTGGTTGTTGTTGTTGGTCGCCACATGAGTGACAATGGCCTCCTTCAAAGGCAAGGTATGCCAATTGATGAGGCGCTCATGATGACCCTTTGGGCACTTGCTACACCGGACAGTTTTAGGTCCACTGCTGTCACATTTAGGAAGAAAGGACGTGGCTCAGTTCACAACCAATACCGCACTATGATCAAAGTCCTCTGTGACCTTCGTCAGAAATACATACAGTGGCCTTCAAGGTGGGAAAAGCAAGTAATTGCTAGAAATTTTTACGATATGTATGGATACCCAAGTGTACTTGGATGTATTGACGGTACGCATATCAGAATGACTGCTCCATTGGAGCAGCCTCAGCGATATGTTAATAGACATCATGATTACTCCGTACTGGTACAAGCTGTGTGTGATCACAGACTGCTTTTCCGTGACATTTTTGTGGGTCAACCTGGAGCTGTGGGTGATGTCAGGATGTTCCAGAGGAGCCCTCTTGGAATCCAGCTGTTCAGAAGGTTAGATTTAACCGACGACTTACACATACTTGGAGATGGTGCTTATCCTCTATCCTCTAAGGTTTGTAGGGATCGTCACAGTTCCTTGTATTCACTATTGTTCTATAGCACACATTTAATAACTCATTCTCTTGCAGTTATTAGTGCCGTACAGAGATTATGGGAATTTGACACAGCGCCAGCGTTTTCATAATTACCACCTTTCTCGCTGCCGAGCTACCATTGAGAGGGCATTTGCCCTTCTTAAGCAGAAGTGGAGAAGATTGAAATTCTTTCCAAGTTTGAGTATCGAGTATGCTAATATGCATATTGTTGCATGCATGGTGCTTCACAATTTCATTATATTGGAAGAGCAATATGAGGTAAATTCAAAAAACTTGTATGTTATGCTACCACAATTTGCGTCTAGTTACATACTTGATTTTCTTTGTTTCTATGTTAAGGACTTTGAGGATGAACCTGATATGGTACCAGATGATGTTACTGATCAGCAGTTGGCACAACAGGAAAGAGAAGAGGGAATTCTGAAGAGAAATTATATTGCTGCTCTGTTGCATCCTTAGTTAAATTGGTATCACTTCCTCAGCCTGTTATTCCAATAATGTTGAGACTTGCTCTGAATAGTACATTCCTTCTTATGTAAGGATCGGTCTAAGTCTTATTTTTGTGCTGGTTCAATGTTACTTCAATCTTTTTAAATGTTACTTTCAAAGATCTTGTAAAGAATTTCCTTTCTTCTAGTTTTGTTGTCAGCTAGATAGTATTTTTGAAGGAAGTGATTATAGACACGCTTCGTGTAAATATTTTAACAAAAATACACGACGCGTGTCCACAACTCAATAAATGTTATGCGCACGCTCAAAAAAATAAAAGCGCGTGCGCATAATGAAACGACCTGAAGCGACACGCCGCGTGCGGTCAACGGCGTTTCTGTTA